AAAGATATAGAACTACCACAAGTCTTACAAAGTACAGTTCTACAACTAAAAAAATTAAAAATTAACGATTCAAAAGATACAATATACTGCGATATTTCCACAGAAACAATTAGACCATATGTCCCACAAGCGTTGCACAGACGAATCTTCGACAACGTACACAATCTTTCACATCTCAGCGGCCGAAGTACACGCAAGACAATAGCAAAGAGATTCATATGGCCGGCAATGAACAAAGATATTCTGAAATGGGAAAAAAATTGTATAAGTTATCAAAGAGCAAAAATAAGTAGGCATATTAAAAATCCACCCAAACATATCGCAGAACGTTTCCAACATATTCACATTGACATAATAGGACCGCTACCGACGATAGAAAATTTTAAATACTGTCTCACGATGATTGACCGATTTTCTAGGTGGCCTGAGGTAATGGCAATTAAAGACATTAACGCGGACACGATTGCTACAGGTTTCTATGCCACATGGATTGCAAGATTCGGAGCGCCAGCAACAATTACTACTGACCGTGGAACACAATTCGAATCACAATTATTCAACCCTCTGACAAAATTAATTGGATGCACACACATACGCACGACAGCATATCATCCCGCATCCGACGCATGATAGAACGATGGCACAGATCCCTAAAAGCAGCAATTAGATATCATGAAAACAAAAATTGGCTAGAGATACTCCCAACAGTAATGCTTGGTTTGAGAAATAGCTATAAAGAAGATTTAAAAGCAACCGCGGCTAAAATGGTATACGGCACATCCCTCAAACTACCTAGAGAATTCTTTTTAGATTCAGAGACCCACAAAGACTTTACGATAGACAAATTTAGACAATATATGCAAACTATTAGACCAAAACCAACAAAACACCACTCTCGACAATCACATTTCATTTTTAACAAAATATTCGATACATCACATGTATTCATTAGAGTAGACCATTTAAAAAAACCATTAGAGCAATCATATGAAGGTCCGTTTCGCGCAATCAAACACATTTCAGATAATGTATTTTTAATTGATTATAAAGGAAAAGAAACTACTGTATCGACGGAACGACTAAAACCAGCATTCATAGAAGATACAGAAAATAATGAACCACGAACCTACGCGCGATTACAAGTACCGCCTACTCTCCATAACATGTCGAGTGACTCGAAAGGGGGTAATGTAGCGACAGCTACCCCAGCGCCATCTGTCTCAAAGAAGTACAGAGAGTCTATTGGAGATAAAGTGCGTCGACGCGTCGTCTCGTATGTGAATCCTAATCTCGATCCATCGTTTTGTTAATTGTTATAATAAAAGTAATAGTAAAGCAATCGCCTTTCGCTCATCCTTCCCCGAGTTAGTGCGGATTGCATTTTTCCTTTTGTAGTACGGTGAATTGTTAGTATTACCGATCATCGTATCTACAACAGCATGGAGTATACAAAAGAAAGTATGATGGGAGTTCTTTCTGTACGGCTTTCGAAGAAGGACAGTGAGTCAGTTAGTTGGACGAAGAAGCACAGACTTGCGACGAAGTAGCAGGAGAATAATTTTCACCGCGGTGCAGCCTCGCGGAGGCATTGACGCTACGTTTTCTTGTTAATGGATCCCATCTCGAAGGGCATCGATGCCTTTCATTATACAGAAAATAAAAATACAGTTTTAAAGAAGAGATCGGGCGAGCAAATAACAGGTAAGAAGAATTTTTTCCGTTTCTTGTCCATAACGTCCTGTTGGCACAATAGTATTGTTATTGTTAACACGTTTGTCCCTGTCCGACTTTTACAATTTATTTTGATATTCGAAATTAATAGATTCGCCCTATCACCATTTAGCTAGGACCAAACTGTAATTCACTTTAGCGAACTTTAATCAATTGTTGTAAGATTATTTATTGTATTTTATGACATTTTAGATGTTTAATTTTTTATTTATCTGTTTCATTTATCAAGTCTAGTTTTACTTTTAGCGCTTTGTTCTATTACGAGCGAGCACAAACGACTTATTCGACTGTTAATAGTCGTGTGTACAGGAAAATGTTATCGTGACCCAGGCCTCGATCATTCCATTTATTATCTCGGTACTTTCTTAATTTTGATTGTTAAAATTTAAGCTAGTCCTTGTATAGCCTGGCATGGCCGAAACCGGCTATGTACCGTTAATTATAATTAATTTTATTGTATTTTATTGTATTTTATTGTATTTTATTGTATTTTTTACTAGATTTTAATTTAATTTCTTATATTTTATTTTCGTCATACATCTGTTTATTTACTTATTAATATATTCATTTCCTTATTTCTATATTTAATTATTTTTCTATTTATTACACCGATCTGTTTGCCATCGATTGTAGTATTGTGCTATAATACGTCATATTTATTTTATTTTGGAACGTATCCACCGATTTATTTTATTTTATTTTATCCGCCGTTTGCCGTCTGCGGATAAAATAAAAGAGTCGAACTTCTTGATATTATACGATAAGACATCCTCATTCAATTCACAACGCGTCTATTTATTTCACTCAATTCTACATTTACTTTATCTATTCATAGTTTCGTCCAGTTACATTCTACTTTACCTGCTACGCTGCTGTTCTGCTTTATTTCATTATACTTTTACTTTGTCAAGGTTACTATAATACATTTCCTTTAATCAATATCTG